TGAACAGGATAAGATCATGGGTCAAGCCTACGGGTTCAAGCACAACGCTCATCCCACTCTGATTGGTCGACAGAATCCCGAAGAGCAGCGCTGGGAGATGACCGAGAGAGGCCTCCGTGACCGTAAGAAGACAGAAAAGGCTGCCGAGCTCGCTGAAGAGAATGTGATTGAAGGCAAGCGAGCGAGAAAGCCGCGCAATTTTTCGGACCAAAGCAAGGACCCAAGCCGCTCAGGAACCCCCAATGGCAATCTCAACACGTCTTTGGTCACCGGTAAACGCCCTTACAGACGTAAGATCGTCAGCACCACGGCGCCAGTCGACGAAACCGAAGTTCAAGATCACGCCCAACCCACAGAAGTAGCCATAGAACCTGTTGTCCGCAAACGACGTGGACCCAAGCCGCGTGCACTAATTGCTGCTGAGGCGGCCGCGGCTGCTGCAGCACAAGAAGCCGCTGATGTCGACCAGGGTGATAAGACCAATACTGACGATGAGGGTCACGAGCATAAACCCAGATCTGCTCGTAAACGTCCTCGTGGCGTTACCTCTCTTAACCCCCCGCCCCCTGCGCCTCTTCTATCTACGTCGACCGAGACGGAGGAAGCCAAGGCTATACCCCAACGGGCTATCAAAGGCCGGCCGGGTCTAGAAATCCCGAGTGCGTCGTTCTACGGCAATCCGTCACCAGTCAATACTCAGCCGGAGTCACGGCCATCCACTGCATCGTCAGAAGCAACAGTGAATACAGCCGAGACTACTGAGTCAGCTTATTCGCTTCGTGACAAGCGCAAGCGGAATTTTGTACTGGAGAACGATCCCGAGCTTGAGCCACGTGCACAAAAGCGAGCTCGTGCTGCTGTTCTCCCCAAGTTGGAACACATGGAACCCAAGAAACGAGGACCTCGACGTAAAGCTGCAACAAGCCAGCCGCTGCTGGCTCCACCCATGGCTAACTCCATGGCTCCTCCTCAGCCCCTTGGAGGCTTGAAAGCTCCGGCCATGTTCTTCAACAACGGTCCCCCTGCCCTGGCTCCAGCGCCTGGTCCATTCATGCACACGTTCAACGCTGCGCCCGCTTTCCAGCCCGGTGGTCTTCCGCCTCCGCCGCCGGCACCGCCGGCTATCAAGAAACCTATCACGCGGATCAAGCTAACAAATAATGGCTCTACATCTCAGCCACCCTCTCGAGCATCGACCCCGGCAAGTAATGGCCCAAGTTCCACTCCGAAAGGGTCAGCCAAGGCCGCTCGTGGTGGTCCCAGAACCAGTGTGCCGGCTGAGGCAGTTCCGCCGGTTCCATCTCTTCTGAGCACCAGTCTTAACGACCTGGCTGACAAGCCATACGCCGAGATGACCAAATCTGAGAAGATGAGTTGGTCTATGAGACGTAAGTTAATGCTCGTCTGTTTCTTCCCGCGAATCGTTGACTGACGGAAAATAGGACGCTGGGCCTCTGGTGAGATGCAAGGTGCCGTCGAGAAACGTCGCACCACACTAGCCATTAAGAAAGCCGAGAAGGCCGCAGGCACTCCAAACGGTGCTGACATGAACGTCCAAACACTGGATCCGAGCTCTGCTGGCGCTTCAGCCCCGAACACTCCCAGCCTTCACCCAACCCTGCCTGGTCCTCTGGCTTTCCCTCAACTTCCCCATAACCTGCAGCCGTTGCAACCACCTCAGCTGCTTCTTCAGAAACAGCCAATGCCGTATCCGTACTTTCCGCCCCATGGCCCGGTTGCCTAGGGGTGCAATCGTACAGGCGAAGTGCATTGCTACCACCTTGGCCACGTTGTCACCTCCACATATCATCTTTGAAGCATGTACCTACCCTTCAAACAGGCATTCTATCAAATCGGCAGGCCCATCATACTGATAGCTCAGCACCCGACATGAGAGCTCACCGCTCCCACATTTGTAATTGTACTCACCGAGCGCTGTGCGGCTGCCTTGAAAGGGAGCTAAGCAATCATGGGGATGCACAGTAGGAAAAGTATTCCTTTTCTGAGTATATGTTCGTTATTTTCTTTCTTACTTGTTTTATCTGGTTGGAGCGTTGCATCTTCCGGTTGTCTTCCACAGGTAGCATTTTTCGGACGGCATTTCAGATCATGGGTTTTACCTATTACTTTTGTTTTTCTTGCTCGGTTGTTTAAAACCTGTTTCCACCACATTCGGTTTGGTCTATCACGGGGCGTCGTCTGGTTATCTGGGCAAAGAAACAAACATGGACAATTCATAGTCAAGCGGGTTCACGGCGGCATATGTGGAAAAAGGCAAAAGTTCACTGGTTTTGTTTTATCAGCAAAGATGGAAGCAAACATTGCATCGATGAGCATCATTAGTATTTACATTCAGAGTATCGATTTGCTTTAACAACCGTTGGCATATTCATTCTACTGCTAGTATATAAATAATATGGAATTAGGGAAGTTGTGGTCCTTTATCTAGGTATATAAAAAACTTTTGGATGGCCTGTTCCTGCGCCTGTATGTGTGAAGACGATTGATGAAAGGAATAGTGGCGAGTTACAGCAATGTACAAGCAGCGCAATCTGCAACACATAGGCATAACGTTATATTCCTAAGTTGTGATTATCCAGGCTATTTTACGCAGATTCAATCAGTCCATTTTTGGTAAAGTTTGAAGCTCGGGTGAGGTTGCCATTATTCTAAGCTATCAGCAAAGTATCTGGTAAATCAGTTACCAAGTACTACTTCATTACTTACTGCAGCTGTGATTTGTAGTTGAACATCAGGTTAGCTTTACAATGGCCAGCAGTTTCGTCGATTCGTGATAGTCACATATATCTGTGCCTTTTCCCCATTTCATATTACACAGTGCCTTGCTTTCCCAAAGCAAGCATCCATATAAGATTATTCCTCACACACACGTTCGCGCAGTCAACTGGAGAGCAACTGCACTTTATTTGTCATGTCAAATCCTCACTAAAGATGAGCGTAAAGGCATCGTCGAATCTCTCATGATCTGCATCAAGAGGTCTATCGTACATCAGTATATTCCCCGTACTGTCAAATCATATCCAGGCTCCTTAGCGTACCTGAATGGTACAAGTGCTGATATTTTCTCAATTGTACCTGTCCTTGCTCACAATGGAAGATTTGATAAAGGACCTTCTTTTTCGCTGAGATACCAGGTGCCGTGTCACCACCATTATCTCTAATCACCGTCGCCTTCAGACGTGTCAAGGTAATACAAGTCATCCTGCAGCATCTCTGCAGGCTTCTTGCATTTTTAAAGAATGGCGGCATGTACTAGTGCTGTCAGGCTTTCTTCATTTCTTTGGTGTAGGAGGCTAATGTCTTCTCCTCCTTGGGCGTTGTCTTGAAATGCAGCCCTGTATAATGCAGTTTCCTGGTCTGCTGTGCTTTCTAGTCGTGTATTGCCTCGTGATCTAGCAGCCACTCCAACGTCTTCGGTTTCTCATCTACGTAGTGAAGGACTCTAAGGCCCTAGTAGCCTATAGAGCTTAGAGATTCTTGTGAGTAGAATCACCAATGGCGTCGCTTAGCTCTGTATCCCAATGTATGGCTATTATCTTACGCCACTCATACATTACGCTTACCTCCACATCAAGTCCTTGCAAGATGATTAGTCTGTCCAATCCGCCGTGTGATCATTCTCATCACCATAGACGACGTCAACGTACAACTTTCAAGTTCAAACTCTGATTTGACGTCACCTTTTTACAACTCGAGTTGCCATGGCAGTCCAGCAATAGGTTTAGTAAACTTGCTTTACCGTAGCAGTAGTAGGCAGGTACAATGCCAGTCAATAAGTCTGGCCCCATATGCGACTACCACCTACAACTACACCACCTACAACTACACCACCTACAACTACACCACCTACAACTACACCACCTACAACTACACCACCTACAACTACACCACCTACAACTATCCCATTTACAACTCTTCTTATTACAACTATCTTATTTAAAACTATCTTATTTAAAACTATCTTATTTAAAACTATCTTATTTAAAACTATTCTATTTAAGTTATAAAGTAAGCTTGGGTATAAATAGATAGGTGGTAAATTCAGTGAGGGGCCAAACTTTTTGACTCATACTGTAGTTTGAGTCTGTAAATATGAGGTACTTTACTCCATATGTGGAAGATTGAATATCTACGAGCATCTTCGCCACTAACTTATGATCCAAAGATGTAAGTAATTTCATATAACATGTAATGAACATCGTTTCCGTAAACAACCAAGTAATAAGCATCACAGAAGTGGACCACGTACTTTTCAAGGTTAAACAGTGGTTTGGATGGTGTAAGTAAATTTCCTGCTTGAGTGCGCGGTCGATTGGGACCACGAACTCTACCAAACACCGATGTTACAAAAGGATCCAAATCATCTATAAGTTTTCTAGAAATGCTATTTGTTTTATTATGACGCGATTGAAATGGCCCATATTACTTGCTTCATTATACCCTCAATCGACACCTAAGGTAATGAAGTCATTATGACTAACTATATTTTCTTTTATATTTCCTTATACGATGAGACATGCTTGCATATTAAACTAGGATGACGGGTGACGGTAGCTTATATTGATGTTAGTACTGCTTGTGCTATCCGACAGCCTAGATATACTTCCAACAATGAACAATAGCGATCTTTCACATATTTTACTTGAGATGAACGTTGATCCAAATGCATCCACTCAAATTTACAGTGTCAGGAATTGTCTTTTATAAACTTAAACGAAATTCGTTTCATTCTCTAGAACCAAAATAAAAATCGCAAAGAAATATACGAGGTTCTGTGATCATAATTACATACCAAACGCCAACTAACTAAAGCATGCAACAACCAAGGGTATGAAAGTTTAATGACGGAATAGTGAAAGTGACGAAAAAGGTTGGCATTCGTTACTTACAGAGGTTGTCAAACCCTTTCTTCATTAACCAAAAACGGAAAGAAATCAGCCTCCACATGCAAAACGACAAAAATATCTCTGGAGAAATACCGCCAACGGCGAGACTCGAACTCGCAACATTCAGATACCTCTATGTTACATAAAAGTCTGACGCGCTAACCAATTGCGCCACGCCGGCATTCTTCAAAGGCAGGATGTAAACGAGCCAATCGATGCAAGTCAGAGCGGTAACAAGAAATCATGAACCCAAGCGTGCAAAAAGGTGGGGACACCATAAGACGGATAACGGAGAAGAAACAATGGCGCGGGCCGCGGGGTGGCTGGACTGGGTGTTTTGGGACAGCGCGAACGAACAGCAGACGGGGCGGGATCAATTATTTGCTGGGCAGTTTGGATGATTGCAGCAGGCATCATGCAGCAGGGCGGACTGCTCTGCCCCGCTAGCCAGCTACGAAGTACATGTACCTTACCCGCCTTGTGGTATGGAGATTGGATACAAAGCATTGAGCAAAAATAAAAAAAAGGGGCTGTGCCCGAGCGCCACCTCAAACAGCTGTACGTACAGTACCGCAAACCTACCTTGCTTAAACCTGCCCGCCGCTACCCTGACCCAGCGATGCTTGGCCTGCTTGCTTGCCGGCTTGCTGCCCAAGCCCCCACACACCGAATCTCCCTTTCGATCATGTCATGTTCGTGGAGTCATCAAACTACACAACACAAGCGGCTGTCTTTGCCTCCCACATCAGCTGATGCGAAACAAGAAAAAGGCTGGCGGCCTTCGAGGCGGCCCGTCGCAAGAGTACACACGAATCACCGACTGTCACACCCTGCCTGAGCCACCAAGCTGGAACCACTGACGTCAGTTCCAAGGTTGCATGTGCCTGTGCTGTATGTATGTGGTCTTTCACGTTCCCCAGCCAGAAAGCGTCTCTAGCGTCTCTGCGAGTCGCAATGCAGGCAGCTGGCGCAACTAATTCGGCAACACGAATGACTCTGCCCCACCCCGTCTCGTCCTCGACGACGCTGCATTGTTCTGATATTGCTGTATTGTGTTGGGTCTCGTCGATAGAAACTCCTATGTACAAATCTTCTGTGTTAATAGTAATAATCGCAATGTGGCATGTAAAAAGAGCCACTGCTCCAGGCAACAAACGCCATAGTGTAATGCTTTCCAGTCCAATCCTGTTCCAGTCCAGTCCAGTCCAGTAGTCGAGCTCATCAGTCGAGAGTCTGTCTCTATGGTCATAAGCATATATCCCTTCTCGTCTTTTTTCTTCTGTCCAGAACCATACAACCGAGCCGCGCAGAAGTGGTATAAAGGCTCTTTGGCCCTGCCGTAAAAACCAGCGCTAAATAAATCCAGTCATTAAAATGCGCCGACGCCAAATGCAACGAAACCAAACATACTGGTGCCCAACCATTACAAGACAGATGCGTGGCGACCCGCTGCATTGAAACAAAACCTGAATATCGAGTTGGTGATCGGACCGGTGGTGTCAATCCCGGCGTTGCTGTAATTCCCCATATGGCGTTGTTGTGATTCTGATATGGCTTTCCGGAATGAGCAATTGGTGTGGCCAGAGTAGTGTGGTCCCCCAATCTCAGCCTCAAATGTGCTTTCGTCTGCTGGATGTGACGCAGTCTTTCCGTCACGCTCAACGCGGGTTGATGCGTCTTGTCTGAGGTCGTGCAAGGCCATACGACACCAGATCCCATCCCGTTGAAACGCAGCAATGGCTAGTTTACTTCTTGGCTCTGCTGCTGGACGCTGTGATTTTGCTTGTTGTCATTAAATCCCCAATATACTTTTGGAGGAATTTGTTGTTGTTGTCGAGCTTGTGGTGCTCTTCCTTAACAGCCTCGATCCGATTAAATAAGGTGATGAGAGAATCTTGGAGCGCTTTGGCATGCCTATGTATTTGTTAGTGCAATCCTACGACCATGGTGAAGTATCTGCCAGGTCCAGCTGATAAACATATATCATGTGTTTGCTGTTGACGGTTTCTAACCTTTGTAGTTCCATTCTCGCCTCCTTACCAAGATTCTCTATATCTTGGCTTGTCCTCCTCGGGCTCATGGCCCTCACGTCGTCAGGTCCGATGTGCATGTCGACAGGGCCGAAGGCGGAAACAGAGTCGCGCGGCACGATCATGGTCCCGCTGCTCCGACGACTGGGCAGGCCTGGACGGATGGGAGTCGGGGCATAGATCGGTTGATCGACTGACGACGCCGAAGACGAGTCTGAACGCTCCATACTGGGTATATCGTGCGGGCTGGTTGATCCCATTATGATCGTGTGACAAGGCAAGGTAGTTGGTGGTGTGATGATCCGTTGAATAGGTTTTAAAATGGGACACGAAAAAACGCTCGGGTATTGAGATGGAAAAGAAGCGAATCGAAGGCACAAATTATCGTCAACCAACGAGCTGGCACCTCCGTCTCCTTCTGCACAGCCAGTATATTATTCCCACTACTGGGTCAGACTGGGTGACGCACGGCAACTGATTGCATTCGCAAGGTCGAGGCTGGAAGGTCGGGCAGAAGATACAAAAGCGAGGCGTAGCATTATCGGGATGTGGTGTTCGGGGGCCGGAGTTTGCACCAGGACAAGTCTGAGGGCGCGTAGACTGGAGCGCAAGAGCTGAGGGGCAGCAGGTCGAGGGCGTTGCTGTCAAGGGCAGTCGGGCGGGTCAAACTCTTGGTGGGCCCGTGTGCCAGGGTCGTTGTTTCTTTACTGTGGGTAGGTTAAGGGTCAAGCGGAGGGCCGCCGACGACGTCAGGACGCCAATCGCCAATAGGAAATAGGCAAAAGTCGAGAGGACCCCCTAGCTCGCGGGCAATGCGGAGAAAAGGGCAGTTGCCTAGTGCAGACACTGTGCGGTACACAGACTAGACTATGGAGTAGGGGTTTCTTGGTATATCTTGATGTCGGTCGCTATTGGGCGTCTGTGATGCTGTGTTTCCTACAATGCTGGGGTGCGACGGGCAGGAGCCGGAGGAACGAGGCGTGCGAATGAAGGGTCAATGGGCCCAAGTGCGGATTCTCTCGGCGGTGGACGGAGGTTGGTTCAAGGTTGGCCTTGCTGGTCAGAAAGGGTTGCTGGTCCTGTTTTCTGCCGCGATCAGCAAGCTGTGCCTTGCTGACTGGTGTGGTTGAGTGGCTGCGAGGTGCTCTGCTCGGTGTGGTCACGGGAAGGTAAAGTTGGGGCCTGTTTTGGAAGACTCTCTGGGGAAGGTGGAATGTCGATCGGGGTTAAAATGCGAAGGCGTCTGTTTTGAACTCTTCGGCGGCTCAAATAAATGCGAGGGAAGCTTTGCTTTTGCTACATAAGGGTCCCTCTAACATGTACAAAGTCTGCACGTACCTGCTAGATCTAAGGCTTCTGCTACCGCTTCTACGCATCGCTGTGGAACGGGAACGGCGCAGCGCATAGTGTGGCGGACAATTGCCTGAGTATAAACCCAACTGTTCAAGGCTGCAGTGTTTAAAAGGGCTGAGGCAAACATGGACGGTCGCGTGGTGGTACTGTGCGACGGGAGGATTCGAAGGGCCAAGAGAGCCGAAAAGGGCGCAACTGCTGAAAAATATCATGACTGTGAATTTTTCCACCCCCATAAACAAACGGCAGCATGGAGGCAGCATGGAAGCGGCAGCGCAGCGGGTGTCCGGCTTGGAGGCAGGGGCTTCTGCCTCAGGCCTGCAATTGAGCAATCCTATTTTACCATCCTTTGCTTCTTTTGGTTAGACTGGATGCATCTGATTGTCGATCGGCAGCAATGACGCCACAGTGAGGCTATCTGATTGGCTTATACCCGGTGGGTCTTCCATACATGCCCCAGGGGTCAGGCGGGCCATTGCCTGTGCCACTCAATGATGAAATGGCTGCAAATCATGAAAATCCCATCACCGCCCGTTGAATGCGCTCCATGCGGCAAGATGGGATTTGCGCTGCGCAGCTCCTGATCCTCCTGCATAAATGGTAGGTACCTTGGTATGTACTTTTTACTGTGTATTTTGCGGCTTGCCTCTTATTTGCCGACTCCTGGGGCTGGCTGGCAGCCCCTTGAGTGTTCATTTTAACTCGGCAAGCTTGCCGTCCAGACTCCAGCTGGACGCAGTGGAAAAATCCTGAAATTAAAAAATATCCGTTGCTTGGTTGCTCCACGCATTTCTGTCTCTGTTCCTCCCGACCAAACAACATCCGTTCCCGACGGATATTTTCCGTTAGCGGTGTTGGAATACGAAGATTATCAACAGCTGTACTCCGTAACCAGCCTCCAGTAGGTAGTTATTTCGTCCCTGATTTGTCCACGCTCATATGTGTTACTTCGTACAAACAGGCAGATAACCTCCCACCCCAACTCCGGACGCAAATGTGCTGCCAGGCCAACCCTTGGAACGTTGAAGGCCGACGACGCACATACTTTGTTTCGAGCCTTCATCCACTCCCTTTCGAAAAGAAGGAACGAAATAAGACATGCATGTGCTGCATGTTGCACGACAGAACAAGTATGGGGCAAAGCACGGAGAAAAAACCGTGGCGGTCGGCACGCATTCAGACTTTCAGAGCGGCACCGTCCAACGCTGAACCAATGAGACGGCGCGGCACACCGAGACCCACCAAGCTGGGAATTAATGGAGCGGCGTTATGTCATGATCGGCGACGACCTGACCTTCTACCGTGTGAAAAGGAGAAACCGCCCGTCGTTCTTGTCCCTTTGACACACCGGGTCCCTTACCCAGACTCCCAGAGCGCAGCTTGCGTAGGCCAAGTTGTCCTGGAACATTTCTTGCGTATCAGGCTCTGTGTGCACAGTCACAACACCCTCGATACACTCTGACACTCCATCCGGCCTCGAATGGGTGTCTGAACCCCAGAAGGAGGCGATGGTGATGGTGATGATGCTGACCGATGAAGCTTATGCCAATTGAGCCCATGCCTCAGACACCCCGATGGGTTGCACAATCTCACCGACGGGCCAGCATCTGCCTTTTTCATGTTACATATTATATTGGGATAAGATGAGACCATCTCACCGTTGTATCGATGTCGTCAACCCATATACTACCGAGACCCGCGACACTGCGAATACTACCGGCTCTCAAAAGACGTTCAACCAACCAGGCGACGCGGTTTATCGTCCACCAACCAAGGGGCAGCGAGGCTCCAAGCCGAG